GGGCCCTCCCCTGGAGGCAGGGGGGCGCCGGGGCCCTCCCCTGGAGGGCCCGGGAGGGAGGGGGTGCTGGGGAGCCTTGCTTACCTAGAAGGAAAGTTGCTGCTCTGCTCTCAACAACTTCTTTTCCAGTGTAGCTGGTGGAAAAGGTCAGTCTAATGGAAAAATAAAACAATGGAAGTGCCCTTAAAGCTTCCTTGTGAGAGGTCTGTGAGACCAAATCACTTTATGGTTCTGGAGAGTTTTTTGCCTTTGTGTGTCTCTTGTAGTTAAGTTTTAATCCTTATCTAAGATGATGCCTTTTGTGAAAAGTCCTCGGTTGTATCGGGGGGCAGGTAATGTAAAGGCTTAAAAAAGACTGTCTATTTAAGTAGCGGAGAATTGGGCCTCTGTTTTAAGAGAAATATTTTTACCTGTTCTTCTCCAGGTTTGCATCAAGAAGAACGTCTATGCGTGGCTCTGTTCTTCCCATTTCCGTGTGCTTCCCCCAAAAACTGGAAACGTCTGAGGTTGCTTCCGAGTGCTGGGAAGCAGGTGATGATGCATCTGTTTTCTTAGAAGATTTCTCAATATTGTTGTTATTATTGTTTTTGGAAACATTGCTTTTACCGAAGGCAAGAATGCTCTGTTAGGAATTTACATTACTAACGTGGACTACAATAGAATGGCTGAATGCGGTTACCTTAAGTTTTTGTGGAGGCCTATTTGACTTCAACTTAACAAAACTAAAACTTCTGACTTTATCCGGGGGAAAAAGAGAGGATGTGCTGGTTATTTGTGTACTTAAGACTCATTCCTTAGCTATGAGCCTAGCTTAGTTATCTGAGGGGACGAGAAAGGGGACGAAAACTCCTCCTCTTGCAATCATCAAATGAGCTTTCTATGTTCTCTAAAAAAAAAAACCCACCGAACTAACAAAACCAGGAAGACATAAATCCGTATTGAACGTTTTAACAAGTTATCTACTTCAAAACTATAATGTATAAAACTTGCATTACTCACTGAGCTGAATTGTGTGGTGTGCTTCCTGGGTGTGCCGCGTTGCGGTTGAATTTCAGAATCGTGTTCCTTCTTGAATTTGGTAGAGCTTCCTGAAGTTGAAGGCGAGGGACCTGTTGGGAGAGCGGAGCGATGACAACTCTTTCAAAAAACTTAATCTTTTTAAGTAAAGTACACTGATAATTCCCTGCTTTCTAGCTAGATAATGCAAACTAGAGCTTCTCAAATAAACCCTTTACCTTAGCTTTTATGAAGTTAGTTTCCCTGCGCTTTCACCCCCCGCTGTAATGCCAACGACTCAAAGCTGTCCTCCTTTGCGTTTGCCTTGCCCGTAAAATGAAGTGAACTGCGTTTGGTTTCTGCCTTTGTGTGAGATCTTTGTGTGTAGTGGGTTGCGTCTCAATAGAAGAGTTGGCAATTATTCATTTGCTTTGCTGTAAATTGTTTTGCAGAGTAAGATATTAACAAATTCAGGATAGAAACTGCAGCTAGTTTACTGAGCTGTAATGCTGCCCTAACGTAATTGCAACTCTGTTTAAGTGACGAGGTGACTTTGTTCATGAGGAGAAAATGGCTGCGGGCCGTGAGCGTGTCATTTCCTGCGGACAAGAAGAACGCGAAATAGAAAAACCCTCCGCAGGAACTTGTACTACTGAGTTTTGGGAGGAAAGTAATCAATAAACTTAACATTGCAATGAAGTGTGTGTATAGGTGGTGTTTGTTTACAGAATCAAAAAGTGGGGGTTTGGAAGAGACCTTACCCTCCTAGCCCTGTGCGCGACCAAGACAGCCTCCACTTCCATCTCCACGAGTGTTGTCCAAATGCTACCTGAACTCACAACTGGGGAAGGGACTGCTGCCACCCCTGCCTGGTACGGTGTGTGCATCCCTAGGGGGAGGGCGCTCCGTCTCCCGCCTGTCTGTCACCTGACACAGCTCTATGCTGTCCCGTCAGGGCTGCTTGCTGCCGCTGCTCGGTGGCTGCCTACTGGGTGAGGAGCTGTAGCCTGCTGTGAAACCTCCCCTCGGCCTCCTCTGGGCTGAACTAAGTGTAAGAGCGGGGCAGCTTGTCACAAACCTTTACCCCCTGGCTCTCTCTGTCTTATATCACAGAAGCAAAAAGGTGGGTGGAAAAGATTGCTAAGATCATCTAGTCTAACCCTCGACTCCTCCCTGCCCCATGCTTAACGTGTGAAACTCAATGCAACAGCAGCCCTTTCCTCAGCACCTCAACAAACAGAGACTCCTCCTGCTCCTTAGGTATTCTTGTGGAAAAGAATTTCTTCTACTTTTCAACCGGAACCTCCACTAGTGTAACTTAGGGCTGTTCCCTAGCACTAAGCTATGTGGGAATAAAAGCGGATCTTTCCTTCGCTACAGCCTTCTTTGTTGTAGTTGTGGAGAGTGAGCTTTAGCCCTCCACTGGACACTCTAATAAAATAAATTTTTTTTAAGCTGTGGTCATAACTGCAGGCAGCACTCAACTTAAGGGTGCGCCACTGCAGAGCAGGTGGGGTACGACCAGGCCCCATGTGCTGCAGGTAGGGTTGGTCCTCTTGAGGACTGGGGCCTCCCGCTGGCTTGCATTTAACTGATCCTGGAATGCAGCTCTCCTTCCTTCCCAGGGGGTGGCTCACCAGCCTCTCGTCCTCTAGTCTGTACATATAACCAGCATGGACCCATCCCTGGTGTGGAAACTCATCACACTTGATGCTACTGGGACCGTACAGCATACTGCTGCATTGAGATCTCTGTCCAAAGCCTTTTACCCACAAGGGCTCAAAAGATCCTCCTCGTTTAGTGTCGTCCACAAACTTACTTGATCCACACTCAAGTCCCCCGTCCTGAAACTGAGAAGAAAGCTGGCTCCGAAAACAAGCCCTGTGCACCTTGTCTAGCCGCTGTCCACCAAGCTCTAGCCATCCTGTTTAACGCTGCGAGCCTCTTCTTATGGGGCCAATTAATAGGTCACTGTTTTGTTGGTTTAAACAATTGTGATTGGAAATGCTGCTTTCTAAGGCAGAGTTCAGTTTTTGGACATGCTTGCCTGACAGGGATTTTCCTTACTTACTCAAACAAGTAATACACGCCTAGAACTGAACTACATGTGAAGAAATTTCTGTAATCCGGGCATTCTCTTAAGCGGCTGAATACTGCTGAGCAGTGATTAGCTCGGACAAACAGTTAAAAAACAAGGAGATGGCAAGTAATAACCACAACAGACAGTTGAAGTTAATGGACACATCCCTCTAATATAGGAACATAACACGAGAAGCCTTAATTGGTAATAAATTAACAGCTAATGACTGAAGATCTCCTCCTGCTAACCGTTGGCTGTTTGTAACCCCTACGATCCAAGTTATTTCAATATTCCAATTTTATGCATAGTGATGCTATTACTACACGTTCCACTCTTGATACCCTGAATGACTGAGTGACAAGTACAATTTGCAGGTATAAGGCCTAAAACCACCAAAAAACCCCTTCCGTATGTCCTGGGCGCGCACATTCTGAAAAGAGCTTCCGCAATAACTGCCTTTATAATGTATTTTTCCTTATAGATGGAAGACCCTCTTTAGTGTCTCTTTATCCAGAGGCCCAGCCTGGCTTTAAATGTATTCTTCCATCACTGAATAAAAGAAATGATTTGCTTTTCCTTTTTTTTTTTTTCTTAAATGTTATGGTAAAACAGAAATCAAAGCTCTAATCTTTAACTCATGCGGGCTTTGCGACCGTGAACAGCATTTGACTGTTTCCAAAATCTGACCCTTGATCCTTCCTTGCTTATGTTGAACATCGGTCCCTAATAGCGCAGGACATGAGGAAGCTCTAACTTTCTCCCGTATCTATACTCACGTGTGATAATAACGTGCACAGTAATTTGACTAACGCATCGCATTGGGTTACCCAGTAAGAACATGAATTCCCCCCAAAAAATGTACACAATGAATTTCAAACTACAGGCATTTTTAAAAACAAAAAACAACGACCAACCAACCAACCATCCAAGAACAATAGTAGGTCTTTTAAACTTCTTTACCTGATTTAACGGTTCGTAGGTTCCTAAGTATCAGACGCGCCAAAAACCAGTGGTAGAAGCAGGAAAAATAAGGAAAGAGGAAAGCTACAGACATGGTCTTACACATCTCATTGCTTATAGCATAAGCCATTTAAGTTACCTACACACAGCAGCCTTGGAGAAGCCAGGCAGAACTGCTTCCCAGAGAAAAGTGGAATGATGAGAAGAACTTGAAAAGGAATAATCGCATGGAAAAAGAAAAATCGAAAGGTAACCGAAAAGAAAATCCAGCGCCTGGCAGCTGAGGGATTAACCACCGTGGAGAACTTTCTGCTCCTCCTTCTCCCAGTCACTCCCGACAAATATTTGAGCTTTTAGTTTTTTAGCTTCAGTAACCCTATACTGAAATGCTGAGGTTCTCTACGTGGTATAAAACAGCCCTCAGATTGCCTTCTTATTTTCCTCTTCAGACCGCTGGAAGTGTGATTCCACACGAATATCCTACGTGGTCGGAATTTCTGAGCGTGCTCACACCATCCTCTCGACAGATCGCAGATAACTTCATGAATGAGTAACCGGCCAATTAGGGGAAGTTGGGAGCTAATTTAATTAATTAATTAACAATCAGATAACAAAATTAAAATTAAATGTTCTTTTCTAAAGAAAAAATGGAAATAAAGCTGTTTCAGTGGGGCGCTGAAACAAGTCTCGGTTCTCCGGCTCAGAAGCGCCTCTCTGTGTCAGCCTTACAGTTTTGCTAAAGACGGGGAAACAGAAGAGAGTGCTTTGAACTTGGGCTTCCAAACACTGAATTACTGTATTAGCTATTATTAGCTAAGATTAGCTATTTTCTCCCTTGAGCTAAAGACAGTCAGACCTAAAAACTCCCTGTCAAGAAAAATCCCTCGTCCACTTTGCTAGTAACTTTGAGAAATTTCAGCCAAGAGGCAAAAGCATTTCACCTTGGGAGAGGAGTTCCCACGCTTTGGAGTCTCTGTGATCTTAAAGAGGCGCTAAGTACGCGCAGAACCCCTACAAAGCGCATAGCGTGTTGGAAGCCTCTGTCTCCACAAAGGGAGGAGGCGACGCCGTACCTAATCGTCAGGACTCAGCAGTGAATGAAATGGGTTTGCAGTAAGGTGCCCCTCAGCCAGCACAAGGCCCCGTCTAGAGTCCTGTGCCCTCAAAGTGAGAAATACTGGGAGCTGTGCGAGTGGGTGCAGAAAAAGCCCTACGGGTGACCTAATGGCTGCAGCATGTCTCCTACGAAGAAAAGTTCATGGAATTGGGTTTGTTTAACTTGGAGAAGAAAAAGCCTCGTCGTGGCCTTCCTAGCACTCGAAGGAAGCTTTACAACAAGAAGGGGATCAACTTCTTACATGATCTGTGTAACAATACAATGTGATAGAGATCACAACAACAACAACAGCAGCAGCAGAGTAGCATAGCCTCCGGCTGCAGCAAATGACAATGAGCCTAAAAGCAGCAGCTGAAAAATGAAGGGGAAAAAAAGCTGCTTACCCTCAGAAGACCACAAACTCACCAGACAAATGGCTCCTGCTTCCTCTGCCGGCCCTTAAATGAGGTCTGGGAAGGGGTGGATCCTGGCTCCACCCCTAGCAATAGCTCAGGTACATTGGATGCACCTGAGTTTGCCTGGGTGGGCCCTGACTTCTCACCAGGTGCTCAATCGCTGCTTCAGGCTGTGACTCGGCATTTCTGCTACAAACTGACAGTGATAGGACGAGGCGGGATGGCTTTAAACCCTCAGTTTAAACACTGCCCTGAGGCAGTGGCTCGGCGTTCTTAAAAAGGTTGTGACTGCTCCGCCTCTGAGGGCCGTCGAGGCCGGGTCAAATGGGGCCCTGGGCGTCCTGATCCAGTGCTGGCAGCCCTGCCTGTGGCAGAGGTGATTGCACTAAGTGATCTTTAAGGTCCTTTACGACACCAGCTTTTCTACGATGCAAATGGATCGATGGAGGCAGAACCAATTATTTTCTTTTTTACACATATTCACGGTATATGATTAGATTAGTATTATTAAATTAGATTATGAGGTATACGATTAGGTATATGATTAGCCCATTCCAGTGC